AATTAAAAAAAAAAAAGAAAAGAAAAAGAAAAATCACGAACTGCGTCCACAGATAATGCAATTAAGATAAACCCAGATAGGAACTATGTCGAAATTTCACATGTTTTTTTAGTACGCAGTCAATGAAAATCCAACAAATTCACGGTCACAATACAGAGAATGAAAAGGGGTTGTGAATTCAAAGATTGTATTTAGTTTTTGTATTTATCAAAGAAAGAGAACAAAAGTTGCTTCGTTTTATATGCGAGTGTGCGTGATTGAAGACATTGAAGGAGCTCTTTTCCCTTTTTTTCCTTTTTTTATTATTATTTATTTATTTGTGTTTTAATTTAATTATTATTATTATTGTGGTTGTTTTCTTAAATTACTATTTGTTTTCATTATTTAAAATTTACATTCTCTCTGTTTTCTCATTTGATAGTGGGTCACTTCGTTCATTGTGGGTACAGCTCAGCTATAAGCTTAACTAACCCCACGCCAGCCCAAGCCCAACATAACTTTTTGTTTTAATTTTTTTTTTCCTTCTTTGGGGTAAATAACATTTCTAGGGTTTTGAAAGTGGGTTTTCCTACTGTATAGGCTTCATTGCAGTTACGGTAGTATATTCTTCACCGAAATTAGTCTTGTGTAGATCGTTCATTGTTGGTTCGGGCTAGTTTGTTTGCTGGGGAACGGTCGTTAGTTTTTTAGTTTATTGGTGTTCTGTTTCTTGTGTTTTGTTTATGTGTCCGTATCTGTGTTGCAACTGTCTTGTCTTTTTGGTTTGGGTCGTTGACCCCTGTGAGCCCGAGTATCAAACTTATTACCCTGTTGGGGTCCGACACTCGGGTATTACCCTGTTGGGGTCCGACACTCGGGTATTACCCTATTGGGGTCCTTGTAGTTGTTTTAGTTGTTTGTGTTGTTGGTTAGTTTAGTTGTGAGTGTTTTTATTCTAGCCTTGCTAGTAGGGATTCTAGGCGGTCTTCTGACCTGTCCTCCCACTTTTTCAGCTGTTGGCTGTTGTGTATTCACACATTTGTGCATTTTGATTTATAATATTATTTGTCGTTTCAGGAAAAAAAAAAAGTGGGTTCTCCTGGTTATCTGATTTTTGTTAAAGAGTTGATGTTTGCTAATAGTTTAGGTTGGAATGAGTGGTTGGTTCAACAGGTTTTCAGTGAAGAAGATATTAAAGCCATTCTGAGTATCAATATTTTGAAACCTGATAGAGCTGACAGATTTTTATGGGGACTTAATAAAAAAAGGGAGGTTCACTGTCTCTTGCACCTACACCTTCTTAGTTCAACAGAAAGCATTAAGGTTGGCTCAACCAGAATGTAGCTCCCAGTTTCAGTACTGGAAATCTATTCTCAAGAGAAGTTGATCTTTGAAAGTACTTGGAAAAATCAAGCTTTTCATTTAGAAATGTTTGACAAGAACCTTACCTGTTTTGGTTAATTTAAAAAAGAACGGCTTAGGCATTAATACAACATGCAGGTTCTACGGTAAAGGTCCTGAAACCATTAAACATCTTATGTTTTTATGCACCAGAGCCTGCAGGTTATGGGAAATGGCTCTTGTATCCTGGGATGGCCTCACTCAATTTACCAACTCTTTCAACCATTGGTGGCAGCAAATATGTTCATTTGATCATTCAGATTTGGCTGAGTAAAGGGTTTAACAAATAACATATTTGATGTGGTGGCTCTGGAAGACCTCGAACCTTTGGATATTTCAAGCCTCCCTCACTCTAGTCCATATTGTCGTTGACAGTTGCTTAATCAGGCTGGTTAGAGTTCTCTTATGTGTCTCAGAAGCTTCCTTTTGTAGTTTTATTGTTCTTTATTTGTTTTCTGATTTTGTTGGAGTATGATGTTCTTACAAGGCTTTGTAGCAGTGGTGGAACTCTTGTTCCTTTATTGTGGTGTTGCTTCTCCTTGTTTGTATGTTTGAGGTTCTAGGCCATCTTGTAGATGTGCCTCACAGTTTGCTTTTCGATGTTGTTGGTGGTACCCTTGTATTAGAACATTGTTCTTGTTTGAGTTATATATCATCGTCTAATGTTTTAGGAAAAAGAAGTGGATTCTCTTATGTATGGAAATTTGTAAGGATATCTATCTCTATAATAAACTCCATTTTTTTTTATTCTCAACATGTCATATCACTTTAAACTTTATTCTCTCTTTTTTGTTTTTGAAACGGCAAGATATATTACTCTAATGCAGGTATTTACAGAGTTCAGGGGTCAAGTAGCCCAAAGCCAATAAAGCACAAAATGGGTACACAAACCCAACCAACTCCTAAAAAAAGGAATAGAAAGAAAGAGAATAACAACTTTGTTGGTGTTTATACTGAGAGCTTGGCTTTAGATGTATTTACACTGAACCCGTTTGAATGAGAATCATGTTTAATTAAACAAGTCTACGTTCTGTTGTTTTGCATTAGATAGTGTGGGTCGTCATCCGGCGAACCGAAGATCATGCTATCAGTTACTCGCGAAACAAGAATTAATGGTTCACAACCTAGGTGGACATGAACACCCTTTCGTAAGCGGTTGTAGTGTCAACTGTACAGTTTGTCTTGACTGATTAGTTGCACTAGTACATTTATGTATTGAACAGGATCCGAGAGAGGAGCAGTTCGTTTTATACTGATCATCGTAAACGGACTAGACCTCGGTTAATTACTGCGTACTCTTAACCCCTAAGATATTAAACAAGCATATATGTGTAGTACTTATTACTTTGATTCACATGGGTGAGGCTTAGTGAACTGGGCCAATAGACCCGCTGTCTTGGGTAATATTGTTGCATCTATGATGTGCTGTTAGGATATTTACGGTCACCGTGTGCGTTAGTTTGATGATGTCCCCGAGATGAGCTCATGAAGGATAATTATGTTAAATCCGGCCAGTAGAATTTATTCCGACATAATAATAATGTGATGAGTGGTACTAGTCTCGGTTATAGATGTTGATTAATTTAATTGTCAGTAATTAAATTAATTGATGGACATTATATCTTAAACACGAGGAGGTAAATCGAGTAATTATTATTGGAGCTCGAATATAATTCAGGGATTAAATTGAGAGTTTATTCAATAATACTATTTTAGTGGAGTATACGTATTATTCCTATTTGGGTTTGGTAGGCTTGGCCCATAGAATAATCCTAATAGGAGAAGCCCAATTTAATACCTCTTTAGGATCCATGTTGTAGCCTATAAATACATCACATCTCTTGGGATTAGGAGATTAAGAGATTATTCACGTGTGAGACACAAAACCACCGCCCCCTTATGTTTTTCTCTCTCTTGTGTTCTCTTCTTCTTCTCCAAGTAATCCTAGTAGAGATAGATCCGATTTCATCGCGCACCAAGATGATCGAATTAGATGTCAAGTCATACAACAGAAGATATGAGGTTGTTGAGCGATCTATATATATTTTTTAGCCCCGTATTATATATATATATATATATATATATATATTCATCCACGTAATTTATATGTATTTCGCAGAACTGTCCGTTCTACACAAAAAGACAGATTTATGCAAATCATATATTTCTAGTGTGATTGGAAACTTCCGGTGACCCCCCCCTCCGGTGATCGGCGATTTTCTGCCGACCATCCGCCGACAAGCCGCCGCTGTGACGGCGGCCCACGCACCGCCACGCGCCACCATAGTCCGCCAGGAATTTCTTCAAGCGCAGCCTTGCTTCCTGCCCAATTTCCGCGCCTGCCCAGGGAGCATCCACAAGCCCAACAGGTGAGGACGTCCCAGAACGCGCGCAAGGCCCAAACGCGGAGGGCCCAATAGGTGACGCAGCCCAGCGGATCAGGAAGAATAACGTGGGCCGCGTGGCCCACGTCCAGCCCGCTCG